ATATATATATATATAATTTGTGTTTATGTTTCATTTATAATTTTCATTGAATGACATGTTACGCTAATAATATGAAGATGGTCTTCATCATGGTCAGCTAGTGTTTTGACTTTAAACAATTATAAGTTTGAATTGAAAAAACCTCAGACATATCCGAAACCAAATTCTTGAATCTGTTTTATTTGTTTGGGAGGCAAAGTTATTTTCCACCCTCGCATAAATTATTCCATCAACAAGTTTGAAAATTGATGGTGGAATTTGAACAATTTCACTATTAAATTTCAAATTCCTTGATGATTTCTAGAACACTATTTCCTACCAACATGTGCATGTGAGTAGTTTCGAAATGGTTTTACAATTCTCATAGTTTGAATAGCAAGTTTGAACAATGGGAAGTTGGGTTATCTCCGATTATATATAGAGCCAAATCATTGATTCTATAGCAAAAATTCAATATTAACAATTACGAGGGTGGTTCAAGAAGTACCCTGTCTGATGTAGATGGTGCTAGTTGTTTGAAAAATATCACTGTATTGGAATATACGAAATCTAAAAAGCATATTTTTCAAGTTTGAAGACGCTACGTTATTTAGTATTTGTGTGGCAGCCATCAATAGCGAACATTTTTGGTGAATTTGTAAAAATGGAGAAAATTGGTCATCATTAGGTGGTACAATACTTTTATTTGAAAAGCCTCAGCCCAACCAATATGAAAGCTGAACTGGATTCTACCGACCAAATGAGGTACGACTCCAGAAGATGGTGAAGAAAATCGTCGACCTAAAGTACGCGAGCTAGCAGACTTAGTAGGCATTTCGAAATGTGCGGTATATCGTATATTATCTGAAAATTTTGACATGAGAAAGCTGTATGCAAGATGGTTTCCTCGTTTGCTCACACTCGAGCAGAAACAGTGTCGTGAAGATATTTTAATTGGGTGTTTAGCGAAGATCCACAGCAGCAAAGCAGAATTCTTGTGTTGTTTCATAACCATGGATGAAATATAGGTCCATCACTTTACACCTAAGACAAAAAAACAATCAAAACAGCGGACTCAAAAGGTAGAACAGGCTTCAAAGAAGGCAAATACCGTTTCATCTGCAGGCAAGGTTATGGCATCGGTTTTTTTGGAATGCACGTGCATTATCGCATTGACCAAAATTACCGAATTGAAGTTTGAATTGCTACCTCATGCATCCTATTTGCCAGATTTAGCACCTACTGATTCTTTTCTGTTCCCACACTCGAAAAAATGAGTCAGTGGTCAAAGATTTTCCAACGATGAAGTAATGGTATCAGCAGTTAATGGCTATATTGAGGAGCAAGACAGTTATTTATTTATTTATTTGTGTCCAAACAGACCTACTGATCTAATTACATGGATAAATATACATACCTGAAATATTACAAATAATTCATATTATTAATTCAAAGTAAATGTAGAAATAAAAGTGAACTCAACTCTATTATTTTTCACAATATTAGTTTTAATTTAACAAATGAGAAAATTTATTTTAGTAAATTAATAATTTGTTTGATTATAATGTTTTTAAACATATTTTGAGTCGACACATGGTTGTAAGAGTAGTTCTATGTATATTAAATGTAACAGAAGAGCGCATCCTCCTTGGAGACACATTAAATCGGAATAAAGGAAGTAACGTTGGTGAATTAGTTTTTTATTGATAATTCTAAACAGAAACAACAAAATGTTGAGCACTCTATTAAAAATGATTATTTTTTTTCAAAATTGTTGTGTTTTCTTTGTTGGGCGGGTACTTTTGGCACCACCATTGTATTATACGAAAACTGGTATATTCAGTTAATTGCAAATACCATTCTCTATAAGCTAATTAACACAACGTGAAGTGAGACCTCAAAAAAATGAAGTATGATGTCCCTCAGGGATCCGATTTAGGTCCATTATTGTTCTTGATCTACATCAAAGACGTATGTAGTCTCATGAAATCAGCAGAATGTATCTTGTTTGCAAATGATACAGCTTTAATGTGTTCTAGTACAGACTTAACTAGCTCACAACTAATGATGGAAGATAGCAAAACATTGGCTTTCAATTGGTTTGCTGCTAACAAGCTCACCTTGAATAAAGATAAAACTCAAAATATAATCGTATCTTCCAATTGCAATATTCCCTAATCTAAAAGTGTTAAGTTTTTAGGATTCACTATTGACCATAGACTGAGCTGACCTGATCATATCAAAGCTATGTTCAGCAGCAAACTTTCTACTGTTTTGTTCATTTTGAGGCGACTGACCGATGTGGTCACCTTGATGACACTGAAAAGAGCCTACTACGGATTATTTCACGCAGTTATTTCTTATGGTATTCTCATTTGGGGTCATTCAAGTAACTCGTTGAGTGTGTTTAGGTGCCAGAAGAAGGCCAAAGGCAATGTAGCTAAAGCAGGTTACAAAGATCATTGTCGTCCTCTTTTTATTCAACTCGGCATTATGCCACTTCCCACACTGTATGTATATAAAGTGAACCTGGAAATCCATGAAAATGTTGACAAATTTGAAAAACATGGTGAAAATCATGCATATGAAACAAGATCCGCAAGTTTATTGAACCTGCTTAGACATAATCTGACTATCAGTCAAAGGAATTCACTGATCTTAAATCTTTAAATCATCTTCATTCATCTCAAGTCACTCAACCTCACTAAATTTAAATTTATTATAAAAAGCTCACTCCTCCAACACTGTTTCTATAATATAGCGGAATATATTGAAATTGCGGGATCTTTAACTTACGAAAGGCCTCATTAAATCAATATACCTGGATTTTAATTTTAGCAACATATTCCAAAGATTTTATATTCATGATTCTATTTATACCTATATTCTTTACTTATATTTCATAGTAGATGAATTTTATCTCTGATCAGGGATTTCTGTATTTGTGACTTGCCATAAATGTACAACTGTATGTAAAATGGTCAAATAAACTACTCTACTCTACTCTGATTCATGGCCTTCGGAAAACAATAACTTGATATTCATCTGGAATTAGAGATGATACTTTCTAATGCTAGAAAGATATGAATTCCTCAAAACTAGAACAACTTTGACATAGCAGCTGTAAGCAGAAGTATGTCGAAAATATTTTTTTCGGCAACCCTCCAGAAAGTACCTACTTTTGATAAATGCAGATGATTATTACTGTAGCATCGAAATAACGGCTGACTACTATTTAATACGAAATTTGTTTGATTTGATTTTTGACAGTATGCACGGTTTCTAATCACAATTATCGCAATAAACTATGGAAAACAGCACGAAATTTCCAATGCAGCAGCTGAACATTACGTGAATTACAAAAAAAAATTCGATTTATCTTATTATCCACACCTCTGGGAATCTCCAATTGAAAATCGGAAAATGTTTGAATTTACCCAATCTTGAAAAGTGCAGAAGCCATATCATTCATCGAACTTAAGCGACGTTATTTGCTGATAATGGTGGAAACATCACAAATTTGAAGAGACATGGTGGCTGGAATTCCACAAATGTTGATGAAAGACATATAGACAATTCACCTTAAAAAAAATGTAAATTTCCAAGATCATACAAAGATTATCAGATGAAAACAACCAATGTGAAACGGAAACTTCACCTTCTTGTTCTGACTTCAACAACAGGCATTTAAATATACCAAGCATTTAAGACAAATTGAATCTCTCCAATATCAGCAATTGTTCGAATTTGCATTTGAATATCAATATAAACGAGAATTAGATTGATCGAAATTTTGTTTTATAAGGAAATATATGTGTCTCATTGATTTCTTATTCTACACGGTTATCGAAAAAATGATGTACGCAACCCGGCCGAAAATAGGTTTTTTTGGATTTCTAGACTCCCAAGACGCGTCTACGGTTCGTCGTAGAATTCCGTCTACTCGTCCAGAAAAACAGTATTTTCTGGACTTTTTTGTTCTATTATCTAGAGATATCGAAGAAAAATTGTATTTTGTATTTTATTTGCCATCTTCTTTGTCGCGTACTTATTTTTCTTTTGCACAGTAAACTCATCTATGGAACGCCGTTTTACTTTTTATTGTCACAAATATTCATTCCTCATTTTATTCAACTAACAATGTATTTGTTTGAATTTAATTGATTCATGCATTTGTTCGACACATTAAAAACGATTGTTCCCAAAATTTGTTCTATTTTAAATGACACTTGATTTAAAATGTTACATGAATTAATTTGTTTGATGAAAAGTTGCGAACAGTTATAATATAGATTCATTGTTTGAAATTTTTGGAAGTAAATGTTTGTCATATATACT